GATTTTTTTATTCCCCCTACTTGAAGCACAATAGTTTAAGGTATCAGGAATTATGATATTTAGTTTAGATGCTTTTTAGCAATTAAAGAATTTAATACAAAGTCAGTTATATTACCTCAGTGAATTTAAATTATATTATAACATTTCTTTTCGTTGTTTAGTGCTAGAATTTATAAAAATTTCTTATAAAACCATTAATGATATATTACTTCAAGTTAATTGAGTTATATGATTATACGGTAAGATGTATTTGCATTTATAAAATTTAGATTTTCCACTAAGCACATAACTCCCCTGTGAAAATCTTTTAAATACTAAAAGTACAACGATAGTTCTCTCAAAACCGTCTAAATCTGCCCAAATACCAGGTTAAGGTTGAATTATCTAACTCAGTTTGGGGGAAACAGGACAGGCAAATATTTTAGTCCCTTCAATCCATATTGTATGCTTACTCATCTGAAACGATGACTGTCACCGATATTTCTATGAATTTCTTTTGTTTAGGTTTTTGTTGTTGCTGTCCTTGCTATCATTCCACTGGTACCTAGGAATATTCAACAAAGGGCATATCGACTTTCTTTTATGGGCACAGCATGCTCTTCTCTATACTCTTTGTACTCACAATTTGGGGTAACTGTTCTGTTTTGATGTCACAGTCAATATTATCCACCTGATGTTTTCCAGCCTGGTCATTTCTGGTGCATTATCTTGTATATTGCAGAAACCAAGAGCATGGAATTTACAGGCGTTGCAAGTTTACTTTCAGTCAATAATTGCAACCAAAGATTTTCTCTATTTCATCTACTGTCTTACATTTGTTACTTCACATCTATGCCTTAAATGTGAGTATTACTTGGCTAGTTAATCCCATGATACTTTTGCTTGTGTCTCAGTATTTGTAATGTAATTAATATTTCCATTTCACCATGTAACTTCCATATATTGCCGTTGCATGATGTGTTGAAATTGCTGTTTTAGTTGCTTTGATTCCCATCTTGTGCCGGTCATTGGAGCATGTTACCAAATTCCTCAGACGTAACTTCAGTCGCTCCACTCTGTACAGGTGAAACTTTAACAGTCTATGGTTCTTATGATCATGTCATTTTTTGAGTACAAGTCATTTAGTGCAAATGTCATTTATGGTTTGTACCAATTATAAAACCTAAGATTCTCTCTTCATCTATTTTACTTGAATGTTGATTTTCAGTTAATCATTTTATGATTTTGACGCATTTTGTGAGATCAACATGATGAAAGAATAGTGCTACTAATGGATTTATATCATTATTCTTTAAATGACATGTGACCGTTTTAAAATAAATTGCTTGCATTAGAAATTTATAGAATGTAGTTTATTTATATGGAATTTGAAGCTTAGAATCTACTTGCTTGTGAGTTTCAAGAAGTAATATATTTATTTCTTTTCTAATGTGAATAGGAAATATTTGGAAGATATTTGTGTTTGGGTGGAGTCAAATAATACTACTCTCAGTATACTGACATCACATGCGGAGATTGCACTGGGCTTCCTTCTGATCATAGCACTATTCTCGTCTGTTTCTCTACTCTTTCTCTTTCCTTTTGACCCTAATGTTCCTTTGCTGCAGAGGCAGAGCCCCTTTTTGTTTTGTAGATATTGAGTACTTCAAGTAATTATATTTTCTTGGAGTATGAATGCAGGTGGCAGCGCAACATTATACAAACATTCATGTACTGGCAGGTTTGTTTCTCTTCTATCCAAATAAAGTTTGTATTGCATTTGCTGAGATTCCAGTACAATTAATGTTGTTGTAGATATCAAATTGCTTTATGCTCGTCCTTCCTGAAACTCTGATGCATATCCCGCCATGCACTCTGGACATATATGTTGTGCCTATTGACTAAGTAAATCATTGTTGTCACGGCACAGTGCCACATATGCAGCAGTTGTGGTGTTGCCAAATTTACATCCCACATTGGCATGCTGCGCCGGTTTTATAGAATATGAAATTATTCTTAGTTTTTTACTTGAATCCCAAAAATTTAAAACTGGTATTAATCTTGAATTTTTTTAAGTTTTAATGAACATTTTGATATTGATGGTATTGATTTATTTTCCGAATTAAGTGTTAATAGAAGAAATTAACGTTCTAAGAGAAGTTTTAAATTAAATCAAAAGATTAGATTTTTCCTCCCAAATGCATGCATTGCTTGTGAAATATTATTGAGAATACTTATGTCAGTTTCTACTTACTGCTGCTGAAAGAAGTTTTTCGAAATTAAAATTACTGAAATCTTATTTAGGATTAACTACCCCATAGATTGAATGAATTAAGCATGTTGTGAAGAATGAAATGTTAAAATTAAACGCTTATAAAACTTTGATAAATGATATAACGGCTTAGAAAACCAGAAGAACCATACAAAGATTGATGAATTACATCTGTAGATTTCTCGTGATTTTGTTTGAAGCATTGAAATTTCTAGGCATGACCCTGTACCTACATGTTATATATTTTGTCTTTTTTGCAGCTATTGAAGCTCATGTATCATGCTCCTGTTACTGCTGCCTACCATCAAAATGTATGGGCTAAAATTGGGAGAGTTGTTAATCCATTTATCAATCGTCATGCTCCGTTCTTGAATACTCCATTAGCGTCCATACGAAGGTGGTGGTTCAGATAGAAGTGAGGGGAAAACGCTGTGACAAGTAATTCTGTCGAGAAATTACTCAACTCTTCCATTTACTAGCAGAAAGAATGTCAGATCAAGGAACAAGTAGCTCTTTTGATCATACATAGAACTGAAGTCTTTACTATGTTCTCTTTTGTTTGAAAATAATGATCAGATCATGGATCGTGCTTTCACTTCGGTACTGTGTAAGTCCAAAATGTAGCTTCTATCAAACAATGTCTCAAATAAATCTACTTGTCAACTGATATGAGATGTATGGTTATTAACATGTCTGGTGTGCTCAGGATAATATATGCAAAATTTTGTTCAGGGGAAAGGAAGCGTTCTTTAGTTTTTGTTTCCCCCGGAAGAAACTGTTGTGGGAAAAGCGTTATCCAACAGCATGGTTATTTATCATATTATTAACTATGTGAGCTTCTATAATTTAGGTTAGCTACTGTGCATCTGTATGAAATTTGAGCTAGTTATATTGTCCATGGATTGCAAATTATGCGACTTTTATAGATTGTAATGTTTGCCTTGCCTAATACCGGGATTGGTGGTTTGTGCACTTGCTGCTTTCTGTGGATAAAGGAAGTCAAATGTCACATTACTTTCTTCCTTTGTTTCTCCCCAATATTTCCTCTTTTAAAAAATAATTGACTAATTGGGTGAGAATTTCAAAATAATCAATACAATTGATTGAGAAATGAAATTGTACCAGGCAGCGAGTGATCGAACTCATAGCTAAATGTCTAGCCTTTTTTTTTTTTTTTCTGTTGCCATTTTAAACATTCATAAGACGAGGTAAAAAGGATAATTGTTTTTCCATAAAAAGGGGCGGAGTACGAGAGGAGTAACTTGGTCTGATTTTAATTCAATTATAATTTTTTTTTGACCAGCATAATTCAATTATAATTCATTCTTTAGAATTGGACTCTTTGTATATAAAACAGTCTATGTACATTTTTCCATTTTAATTTTAAATATTAATAAAATCTGATGATTTCTTCGAAACTCGTCTCAAGCGGCAGAAGAAGCTGACATGGCATCTAGTCATTGTTTCATCAGCTTATGAGTCAGATTGAAGCAGGGGGCCCCCAAAAAAAAAAAAAAAAAAGGACTCGTCACAACGCAGATGGTTTGGGTCGGGTCGTCCGCTTCCACGTTGAGTATTTCAGTCGACGGAGAGGGGGAAGGAGATTCTCGATCGATCGACGGCGCGTCTTGTGGTTCTTGTGCGAGATACCAAATGGACTAACTGTTGATTTATAAAAGGAAATTCAAAAACCAAAACTCGAAAATTCCACACCGGCCGGCACCTATTGTCTATTAAGTATTAACCCTTGTTCCTCCTCTTTGTTTGCGCTGTCAAATGGTTCAGATTGTTCCAGAACTCCAATCTCACACCTCTCTCTACGCTTGCATTGGCGGCTTCTCTTCTCTTCTGGATCGTCGCTCGAGGTATCCCCTTGTGTTTTCTTCACAAGATTCATATCCCTCTGCGCTTTGTTTGCTTGATGCTTCTTTACTTTTTTGCTCCCTCTCCAAAGAGGAATATGACGGGTAGCTTCTATCAACAGTATTTGTTTGCATCGTTTTCTGTCGTCTGGAACATTTTAAATGTTAAAAAGTACAGGGACTGAATTATGATAAGTTAAACTTGGATGAGCGATAATCGAGTTAAATTAAAAGTACGGGGGAAAAATGACTAATTTTTCCTTATTTTTAGCTACTTCACGATTCGGTCGCATATGTTGCTCCTCTCCGTTCTCGGTGGTTCATCGTGATCCCGCCGTGGAGATCTCTGGACGCTCATTCTCTCTCGTTCACACTTCTTCGTTATCTATGTGCTGTGTGCCACCGGCAGTTCTCTCTATCTCGTGCTATCCCCTCTTCTGCGCGTTTCCAGAGTGAGCGATTGAGATATAGTGAGCAGGGAGACTGAGAGGGCGCTGGCTGAGCCGGCGGAGGGAGAGACTGATAAATATATTCAAATTGATACCTGGAGGCGATTTTCTTTGTGTTGATTCTGTATTTCTAAATCCCCCGTGTCGATTAGAGGAGTGCCTGCCTGGCAATTGGGTTCTATGGGATTTGAAGGAGGCTGTTTGGTTTAATCGAATACTCGTTCTCATTTGAATTACGTGAGTGTTGATCTGCATTCTAACTTGGCTCTTACTTCTCTTATTGGGATACTTCTCCGGAATTGGTCATTGGCTCTTGCATGAAGGCATGATCGGCGATTTTGGGATAGAATTTTTCTTGCAATGAACTTATGTTAATGCTATATATTCTTACTAATGGGCATGATTTCTGGTAGTAAAACGGAGGTTGAAAATCTATTTATACGCGATTTTTGTTGAGTTCTGAGGACCATGAATAAGTTTTGTTCAGAATCCATTGTCTTTCGTCCATGTGCCATGGTTCTTGCTATGTATGAATTGCGATGAGAGGATGCATGGATAAGAAGATTTTCGGACCTTCTGTTTCTGTTATTTGATTGAATCATGGTGGCTCCCATCAGTAATGTTCGTTTCCTAAATATGAATAATTTTACTGGGTTAGGTTGCCATTCTCCTTCGCTATTTCAGACTATAATGATATGGAAGCCCTGACGCTCAGTTGATACCTTTGGTGCAATTCAACTGCTGTTGTTAGTTAAGATAGTCTATATACAATCGTAGCCCTTGATAGTCATAAACTAACAGCTCCTCTTTTAAGAAAGGTTGCTCTGTCCATCTTGTTTGGTTTGCATCTTGTTCAGGATTTGATTGCAGTAGTTCACTAAGTAGTTGTTGGCTTTACTATAGCAGACATTTGTGGCTTGGTGGTTTAGATGGCAAGGGTAAGAGATAGAACAGAGGATTTCAAAGATGCTGTACGACAGAGTGCTCGCTCTTTGGGGTATGATGAGGTTAGTTCATTCTCTTGATTCTATTATTCTAAATGCCCATAAATTCTGTTTCTGGTAAATAATTTATATGGATTGGATCGACTGCTTATCTTATTGGGGTGTTTTTGTGGGGATGAGGGTTTTTTTCAAATGGAATCTTTGTTACATTACTGCCTCATCTTATATAGTTTGATAATTTTGTCAGGCCAAATTGGCATCAGTCATGGCTTCTTTTATCATTCACAAACCTCGGCAAAGGTCACCATTTACTAAAGCGGCACTGAAGACGGTATACTCCACATTGCCAACCCCCCCCCCCCCCAACAAAAAAAGAAAAGAAAAGAAAATCTTTTCTGAAACTGTATTCATTACCTGATCAGCACAATTTGGTTGTAAAGACAATGTGATTACTATTGTCTTATTATTCACTAGGAAAAGAATCTAGTCAATCATTTTTTATGTTTCTCAATCTCTGTTATGCCTCTTTCCTTTTTGTTTTATTAGCTTGAGAGTATTGGAGAATTGGACCAGTTCTTGTTGAAGCACAGAAAGGATTATACAGATCTGCACCGCACAACTGAACAGGAGAGAGATAGCATAGAACATGAAGTAAGCTATGTGTTTCGACCTGAGAAACTAGTTTCTGATCTTATTTGATGTATCACAGTATATACATTAGCACTTAAGAAATACAGACTGGTATTATCTGTCCTGCTTTGACTAATACCATTATTAGATCAAGCTTGTTCTGTCAATTTGCTTCCATTTAGAATGGATTCTTTATTACTCAGTAATATCTATGAGTTGAGAGTTTTAGCCCATTTCTGCAAGGGGTATTAGTTCATCATGTTGTTGAATGCATTGGTGGACCATCCCAAATAAAAGTTAGAAAATTACGGTGCCCTTCATTGTTATATAAATTCAGTTAAGCATCTTTGAAAATATATTGTATATATTTTTAACATGATCATTTTATATGTCCAGGTCAGTACTTTTATTAAAACTTGCCAACAGCAAATTGAGGTTCTAAAAAACAGTATTAATGATGAAGAGGCGAACTCAAAAGGCTGGCTTGGCATTGCAGCTGCGAAGTCTAATGTGGACACTATAGCCCACAAACACGGGGTGGTAAGGACTTCTCTTTATTTTTTCCTTTTTTATAGCGCCCTAAAGAAGAGCTCCTAGACAACTGTTCTAGTTGGTTAAATGGGTTTTGAATATTTATCTGCAACAGGCATTTCATGTGGATTAAAAGCTGTACTCTATATATATCCTTGTCTGTACTCTGTACTTCTTGCATTCCCATTTTCTACACCTGTCAAAGTTTGAGTATTCTTTTGAATTTTTTTAATGCTAAAATGTTGCATGAACTGAAAGTGTTTACTTAATTTTCTTTTTTGGTGTATTAATTGTTTGTTTGCTACTTTCTTGAACTATAGGTTCTAATTCTGAGTGAGAGACTCCATTCCGTAACTGCTCAGTTTGATCAGCTCAGGGCTGTGCGCTTCCAGGATGCTATTAATAGAGCTATACCACGAAGAAAACTTAACCGTATGACCAAAAAGGATTCTGCAGAAGCTTCAAACTCAGGCAGTATGGAGCTCAGAGAACCTGATGAATCACGCAATGAACCTCTAAGAGTCCAACAGCAACTCTTGGATGATGAAACACGTGCTCTTCAGGTTATCAGAATTTTCTAACTTATGAGTTTGTATTGGACTTCATCTGTCATTTACACATGGCCAGTAGTAGAACATAGAGAGATAATAGGTGGATATAGAACAGAGAGAGAAAGAAAGGGAGAGAGGGAGAGTGGAACGTGAACGAGAGGGAGGGGCTGTTCTTCTGAATTTCACAGTAGGCAATGTGAAAAATACAATCATCTAAATCTTCTTTTCGGAATAATCAAGGCTATATATATATATATATATATATGGATCCACTTGCAAAATTTCCTTTACAAGAGGGAAACTTAAAGCTTGCTTGGCCAACATAAAAGTAAATCTAAGGTTTCCTTCTATAAGTTTTCCTGTATTTCCTATCACACTTGTTTTGTGATTGTTTGAGATTCTCATCAGAAATCCTTTGCTTGGTTTTATTTCTTGCAGGTGGAATTGACTAGTCTTCTAGATGCAGTTCAAGAGACTGAAACAAAGATGGTGGAAATGTCTGCACTGAATCACTTATTATCGACCCATGTTCTGCAACAAGCTCAGCAAATTGAGCTCCTATATGACCAGGTTAAATGTCACATTGCTCACGGTTTTTTCTTTATTATTTGGCTGTTTAGGTGTGTGCGCAGTTATGTCATGGATCATTGTCGCTTGTTAGCCATATTTGTCTCCTATTCCTATCTCATATATCTCTAGTTTGAATTCTCTGTCTATTTTTTCTTCCTCAGTACAGTGGAAATTTGTAGCTTTCATAATCTAAGGCTTTTATACTTTATAATTGAAACTATCAATGCCATTTGAAGAAGTGCAAGAATCTTGTTGCTCTTATGAATGGTGGAAAGACTCAGGCTTGAATGTGATACTTGTTTAACTTTGTGCCTTTCATAAATCTGGGTGACTTTGATATTTCAGCTATTTGAAATAAGTGTTAATTGACTGCACTGCATTTGGGTGTCTAGACTCAGGAATGCTACGTTTAAGATATGGTAGTATTTGATGCCCGGTGGTTGTAGAACTCCTATACCTGGAGGCCCCAAATTCTGCTATGGCTTGTAAATTCCTGTTGTATTTTAACTCGGACGTTCTTTAATCTCAGAAGCTTCAAACTTCCCCATTGGCAGTATCCTAAACTCCAAATTCATTTTCAAGCTCAAATATCTAATCTTACAATTTTGGAACATTCACACTGTTTAAAATGGCACCAGAGTACGCAGTTTAAAATTTAAATATTTCTTGATGTCTAACGACTGCTGGAATATGGTTTATACTCAGATGTTAAGGACGATGATTAATTCCACTAGATTTCGTTTGGTCACATGTGGTTCAATAATTTCCGGCGTATTAGTTCTCCCCAATCATTTCAAAGTTGTATGACATGTATTAATAGTTCTTATTTGGCATCCTGACAGGCTGTTGAAGCCACCAAGAATGTGGAGCTTGGTAACAAAGAACTGTCCCAGGCCATTCAGCGGAATAGCAGCAGCAGAACATTTCTTTTGTTGTTTCTTTTTGTACTTACTTTTTCTGTCCTCTTTCTTGATTGGTACAGCTGAGCACATTGCATTTTTCCTTAGTAATGTTATTTTCACAGCACTTGCTTTATTTTCCCGGTCAGTTAAATATCCCAGTGTTATTTATCCTCTGGGAAGATATGCTTGTCCAGATTTGGTGTATACACGAGGTGGAAGAAATGTAAATACATTGAAAGCTATTTAAGTGAGAAATTTATCTGGGTGGAAGAAACTTGATGATGCCTTGCTAGAGTCCACTCATATTTGGGTCCGCTGTTTTTTTGACCACTTGTAATTTGAGTTAGCTGGGATTTGGATGAACGTCAATATACCATATATTATTCATTAAGCCTGATGTGCATGGTTTTGTTGCCATTCATGTGATTTTTTTTAGGGGTTCTTGAGTCATAATATGTTTTTTTTTTAATTTGAAATATATAACTAGCCTTGTTGTTCGTACATGGATTTTTTTTATTTTTAAATATGTCATTATTCGAACCACATCCGATTAATTCAAGTTAGAAGAATCAAAGGCAGAATGGTAGATATCACATGATTCCTGACAAGTCATATAAAATTATACTATCTCCGATTCTAATTATAAGATCTCGTTTACAGTCTATAAATGAGATCTTATACTTAAAAATTGAAAATTATTTTGTTTCTTTTGTACTCCTTTTCAATATTTACCGTAGAGTCCGGAGAGGTTTGGCTGGTGTTAATATTTACCTAGGTAAATGTTGGTGGAGTAAGTTCTAGTTTTCATCCTGACAATCGATCATTAGAAGCCTACAATATGTTGGTCTGATTATTGGAATTTAGATTCTAATCTTTCCTTTTCAAAATGAAGCAGTTGACGTGAGAAAAGTAGGTGGATTTTTTGTCTCTTTTGCCAACGAAAAGTAGGTGAAATTTGAATTCTCAACTACCAGTTTTTATACTTTGGCCAAAAAAACAAAAATTACTTTTTCAATTCTAAATATAAGATCTATTTTATAATATAAATTATATTATAAAATAAGTTTTATATTTAGGATTAGAGTAGTACTATTTATTATATTTTGACATATACAGATTTAGGTAGGTTCGAAGTTGTAAGTTCCTGCGGCTTGCAAGACTCTCGAGCACGTCATAGAATAATCTTGCTTTTGACATCTGCTCGTACGTAAAGTTTTTTAATCATTTTTTTAATTAGAGAGGGAACACTAATATTTTGAGATTATAAGTGGGAGAAATCCATAATTTCCCACTTACTAAGAAACTTTTATATCATTAGGCTATAAAGCCAATAACACCATATTCTTTTTCTAGTTTCGCATGATATTTACTTGTTTTTCCAGGGATTCTTTTCGTGGAACTCTCCAATTGAATTCGTATTTTAACCATCTTATTTTTTATTTTAATTACTTATATTCCATAAAAGTAAAGTTGGGTGGGCTTTTATGCCTGGTACAAAATTTCAAAAGGGAACCACCTTATTTATCACTTTATAAATGTAATTTATCATATATTTTTTAAATATATAAATTATAAGGTTAATTTTTTTCTTATGAAATGGAACCAAAATGAAACCACAAAAGTAGAAAGATGAAGACAAGAGAATGATAGAACTTTTTGTATTTGTTTACTTGCACTACAATACAAATAACATGCCCTATTTATAGGCATAGTCTTACACATAGATTACAATTGTTCTTAAATGAAAATAGTGGATAATCAATCCCATGAATGTGAATGGAGGTGAGTTATAAGAGTGAATGGATAGTGGAGGAATAATGGATGGTGGAGGTAGTGGAAGTTACTTGGAGAAGATGAAGAGGAAGGGGTAAATAGATATCCACATAATATTCATAACACTCCCTCTTAGATGTCCATTATACAAATATGTGTCTCGTTAAAAAACTTCAACTAAGAAAAACCCTGTGGGATAAAAACCTAGGGAATAAAAAGAGTATACATTTATCGATATACTTTCTAGTGCTACCTCATCAAAAACCTTACTAGGAAAAACCCGGTGGGATAAAAACCATAGTCAAGGAAAGAGAGTACAACATGTGTTAACTCCCCCTCTTAGTAACATCAATAGATATCTCTAAATCTACGGCATCCAATATCATGAATAAGCTTCTCAAATATCATATAAGGAAGTGACTTGGTGAATAAATCTGCCATATTTTCATTGGAACGGATTTGCCGGATGTTGATTTCACCATCTTTTTGAAGATCATGAGTGAAGAAAAATTTTGGTGAAATATGTTTTGTTCTATCTCCTTTAATGTACCCTTTTTTTAGTTACGCAATACATGCAGTATTATCTTCATACAGAATTGTCGAGATCATTTTGTTGGAAGATAAGCCACAGGTAGTTTGTATGTGATGCATTATTGATCTTAGCTATACACATTTTCAACCTGCTTCATGTATTGCAAGAATTTCTACATGATTAGATGATGTGGCTGATATGGTTTATTTCATAGAACGCTATGAAATGGCTGTACCACCATATGTGAACAAATAGCCTGTTTGTGATTTACCGACATGTGGATCAGATAAGAATCCAGCATCTGCATAACCAATGAGTTCAGTCTTGGGTACGTTTTAGTAAAATAACCCCATGTCCATAGTACCCCTGACGTAACGAAGCACGTGCTTAACTATATCTTGTTAATAGGTTAACAACAAATAATATATCAGGTCGTGTGCGACTAGCAAGATATATGAGCGCACCAATTATACTAAGGTATGGTACTTCTGGACCAAGTAGTTCTTCATCATTTTCTCGAGGTCTAAAAGGATCTTTATCTTTCTCCAAAGATCTTACGACCATCAGAGTATATAATAGATGTGATTTATCCATATAAAAATGTTTTAAGACCTTTCTTGTATAGGTTTCTTGATACAAAAAGATCTCATTTCTTAAATATTCAATTTGCAATCCAAGACAAAATTTGTTGTTCCCAAGTCCTTCATTTCAAATTCTTTCTTTAAGCAACCCATAGCTTTTGTAAGCTCTTCAGGAGTTCCAATGATATTTATGTCATCAACATAAGCAGCAATTATAGCAAACTCATTTTCAAATCTTTTCATAAAAATACATGGGCAAATTGGATCATTCTTGTATCCCTCATCCAATAGATATTTGATTAAACGGTTATACCACATACGCCATGATTGCTTCAATCCATAGAGAGATTTATTTTACTTAATTGAGTATTGCTCTTGAGAACTTGAATTGTAGGCTTCTGGCAACTTGAATCCTCCATAGAGTTTCATATAAATATCATTGTCAAGTGAGTCGTACAAATAGGCAGTAACAACATCCATCAGATGCAAATCGAGCCCTTCTTTTACTGCCAGACTAATTAAATATTAGAAAGTAGTTGCATCCACCACTGGTGAGTATGTTTCTTCAAAATCAATGCTAGGTCTTTGTGTAAAGCCTTGGGCAACAAGTCATGCCTTATGTCTTACAATTTCACCATTTTCATTTTGTTTTCACACAAAAACCCATTTGTATCTGACTAGTTTTACATCTTCAGGTGTATGGACTACAGGTCTGAAGACTCCAGTGAATTTAATTCAGCCTCAATTGTATCTTTCCATTTTGGCCAATCTTTTCTTTGGTTATATTCACTAATAGACTTTGGTTCATGATCTTCATCATCATTCATCATATCAAGCACTATATTATACGCAAAAATATCGTCAATGTTGACTTCATTTTGATCTCATCGTATTTCATTCATAACATAATTTATTGAGATCTCATCATTTTTGCACATTTCAGGTACCTGAGTTTCTTTTGGAATTGAGATATTAGCATTATCTAATGACTCCTCTTGAATTACTATTTTTTCTGGATTATCCTCAACTTGGCCATCTATATTTTTAGCTCCTTTTCTCTTTCGAGGATTTTTATCTTTGGAACCAATGGCCTGTCACGCTTCATGCGTGCTTTAGATTCATTTATAATAGCAGGTTGTCCAACAAGGACATCAATTCTGATAGGAGCATTGGTAGCTGGAACATGTGATTTGGTCACTTTCTTTGGGTCAGTAAATGCGTATGGCAACGAATTAGCTAACCTTTGTGAATGAAGTATCTTTTGAACTTCTAGTTCATATTGTTTTATACGAGGATCAAGTTGAGATAATGAAAGTTCCTTCCAACTAATCTCTTTTTCCAATTGCTTCTTTTCTCCCTCTAATGTTGGAAATTTTGATTCATCAAAATGACAATCGGCAAATCGAGTGGTAAATAAATCTCCTGTTGATGGTTTTAGATATTTTATTATAGAAGGAGATTCATATCCAACATATATTCCCATCCTTCTTTGGGGACTCATCTTAGTACGTTGTGGTGGAGCAATAGAAACATATACTGCACTTCCAAAAATTCTTAAATGGGAAATATTCGGTTCCTGACCAAAAACCAATTGTAAAGGGGAGGACTTGAGATAACTTGGTTGCCTAATACGAATTAATGTTGCTGCATGCAAAATTGCATGTCCCCAAGCAAAATTTGGGAGATTTGATCTCATCAGTAATGATCTTGCAATTAATTGTAGTTGTTTAATTAATGATTCTGCAAGTCTATTTTGTGTATGAATATGTGTTACAGGATGTTCAATATCAATCCTAACAGACGTACAATACTTATTGAAAGCTTACGAAGTAAATTAACCAGCATTATCCAAACGTATTCTCTTGATTGGATAGTCAGGAAAATGTGCTTTTAATCTAATTAGTTGAGCAAGCAACCTTGCTAAGGCCAGGTTATAAGAAGATAATAAGCAAACATGTGATCATCTTGTTGATGTATCAATTAAAACAATGAAATATCTAAATGGTTCACATGGTAGGTGTATTGGCCCACAAATACCCCCTTGTATGCATTCTAGAAATATGAAAGACTCACTTTCTATTTTTGCTGGTGATAGTCGAATGATTAACTTTTCTTTAGAACATGCAGCACATGAGAAACATGTGATTGTGGAATATGTTGACTTTTTAGTGAATGTCCACATGAATTCTCAATTATTTTTCGCATCATAATAGTTCTAGGATGGCCTAACCGGTCATGCTGAATATTAAATTCATTCTCACTTGTAAACTTCTGGTTTATAATAGCATGTATTTCAATTGTACTAATACGTGTGTATTAAAGCGTGAAGAAAAGGCAGGTAATTTTTTTAAAATGCATTTCTAACCAGAAATTAAATTTGTGATAACCAAGTATTCTTAATTTCCTTCATTTATTGTTTCAACATGATATTCATTTCTGCGGATATCTTTGAAGCTCAATAAATTTCTATTAGACTTGGTAGAGTAAAATGCATTATCAATATGT